AGGGACGGCCGTCTGCTGCATCCGTGTCGGCCGTGTTGCCTTACTCCGCAGCAGGTTGTATTTCCTCTTCTCTTTGTCTTGGTTGCAGTTGGTTCTCTTCATCTTCCTTCGTTGAGGCAGGCTGCAAGTTCCAATCCCCCCAACTTTTCACTGTCTCCCAAATCGCCGACGCCGCGTCCTTTGATCCTGGCTGCCTCCAGCAGGTTGCTGTCCATGCCGTCTCCCTCGTTGTCGCGTCTTGCAGACTGGCGCGTCCCAGCAGCCAGTTTCTCCTCCCATCTGCTGCCCTCCTCCAGCCCCCCCTCCTGGTCGCACCTCCATCTGCTCAAAGTCCCTCCCTCTGAATTGGCGGGTGTGAGTTTGATACTTTGATTCATGCCGAAGTTTGGTAGACTCTGATATGGACCATGGTGGTGGTCAATTTTGTCCATTGATCCAAGCGTAAGCTTACGCATGGCTGATTGCAAGGTGAGCATACATAGTTTTTTCCATGATCTTTTGATGAGTGGATGTTTGTCAATCATGTAGAAAGTGTATACTCAACGAAACAAAAATGCCAAAGTGACCTTTAGTCCCTTGTTTTAACAAAAAAGTGTATGAATGCTTGACTGTGTATTATCTGTGTGAAGTAAACTGATCGACAACTAAATGAAGTCGCAACAATTATTTTCTTGATATCACAACCTGTGAAAGAAAAGCGCAGTTATTCGCCGTTATTTGGATACATATAGTACACATATTATTATAGTCTACTATTGCAAATTGATAATATGACATTATAGTCTACTAATATGACATTATAGTCTACTATTAAGATGATGATTGTTCTACTTCTAAATATGAATATTGATACTCCTCAAGGGTATAGTTGTTTCGAAGATTGAAGATAGGATATCAGAGTTATATTCCAAAAGGAATCGTTTGTCGCTGCAGGACTACTATTTTGTAATTCTATGTAATGTGTGTTGGTTGTTTACATTCTTAGTGTTTCAGAGTATCCAGGTTTTGAAGTATGGGGCAAACCAATGTGGCCATAACAAGTATGAAACCAACGACACTGTGGTGGCAATAGGCTTATAGCCATTTATGTTTTGTAGTTAATCAATGTACATGATGTTAAACTTCTGGATCTTGTGTTATTTTTGGAATAATCTGAATCTTAATTATTTGCACTATCCTGGACCGCGAAAAGGGCTCACTATGTTGTGAAATACAGCTATGAACCCACAGTTACTATGATGTTGAGGTTTTAGTTGTACGATAATCTGGTCCTTCTGAGCATATGGCCTGATGCAAGTTGCAAATGTGATAACTAAACAATAGGTTGCTCAAAGTTGTTCTAACTCTTTTTTTCTCAAGGTTATGGAGATGTCCTGATTGATTGGTAGGACTAGGGTTCCTACCGGCTCTACTCCTTAGGTTATAAGGGCATGACAACGGAGGTTGGGGGCGAGGGCGCGTGTGTCGGCACGTAGGCGCCGTCGTGAGGAAGGAGGAGGGCGGCAGCGGTTAGGGTTGGCGGCGGCTAGGGTTCCGGCTCCTCTGGGAGCCGGGCAATAGGGATAGAAAATATGTTTATTGCTTCATTCCAAATAGAGTCTTACATCCTATATTTATAACCTAGATAACTTGCATAATAATTAACCTAAGATAACTTGTGGGCCAAGCCCCTAACTACTGCCCAGTGGGCCTCCTCTGGTTATAAGCTAAACCGGTTATAACATCTCTCCCCGCCTGCGCAAACAGCTCGTCCTCGAGCTGAAAGTCTGGATAGTGTTGGCGGAAGTCGTCACGCTGCTCCCAAGTAGCCTCCTCCTCCGGAAGGCCCGCCCACTGGATCAGAATGAACCACACCCCGTGACGGAGTTGCGCCCGCAACACCTTCTCCGGCTCCGAAAGAAGACGTCCGTCGGCAGTCGGAGGCAGCGCAGGTGGAGCGCCCGGTGGCTCTCCACGAAAAGGCTTGAGCAGCCCCACATGGAAAACGTCGTGGATGCGAGCACCGGTCGGAAGCTGAAGGCAATAGGCCACCCGCCCAATGCGTTCCAAGACGGCGAAGGGCTCGGCGTAGCGAGGGCCGAGCTTGCGCTTCGCGCGCGGGTCTAGCGACTGCGTAGAGCGGTGGAGAGGACGCAACCACACCCAATCACCCACCGCGAACTCCGCCTCGCGATGGTTGCCGTCGTAGTAATGCTTGGCCAGCTGTTGGGCCTGGAGGAGACGCTGACGGACCTCAGCAAGTATCTCGTCACGGGTGTGAATAAGCTCGCCTGCGGCCTCCGTCCGCGTCGTTGCCGGGTCCACCGACAAGATAGGCGGCGGTGGCCGACCGTAGACCACCTCAAATGGTGTAGCACGCAGCGCGGAGTGATAGGTGTTGTAGCAGTACTCCGCCCACGCGAGCCAATCCACCCAAGCTCGAGGGCGATCACCTGTAACACAGCGCAAATACATGGCAATCACCTTGTTAACCACCTCTTATTGTCTGTCCGTCTATGGGTGGAAGGCCGTGCTCAGGCGGAGCTTGACGCCCGCCATCCTGAAGAGGTCGTGCCAAACATGGCCGGTGAACACCGGGTCCCGATCACTGACGATCGAAGAGGGGAACCCGTGAAGACGAACGATCCCTTCGAAGAAGGCACGAGCCACGGACTTGGCAGTATACGGATGCCCCAGCGCGATGAAGTGAGCATACTTGGAGAAGCGGTCGACCACAGTGAGAATGATTGATTTGCCGCCCACCTTGGGGAGGCCCTCGATGAAGTCCATGGAGATATCTGCCTAGACCTGAGACGACACGTCCAAAGGCTGAAGCAGACCAGCCGGCGTAATGTCTCTGTCTTGTTGCGCTGGCATGTCATGCAAGATCGCACCCAGTCACGGACCAAGGCGCGATCACCAGGAATGTAGAAGTCGACGCGTAGACGATGGAGGGTCTTCTGCACACCCTCATGACCAGCCGAGTGAGCCAGCTATAGGACCTGGTGACGGAGATCATCATGTGCCGGAACAAAGACGTGGCGCCCATGGAGGAGGCCGTCAGTGAAACGCCAATGCTCCTCCAGGTCGCTGGCAGCTAGCTGCTGCCGAAGGAGGACAGCGTCGTCAGCGGTCGCCGTCGCCCGGCGAATCTCGGCAAAGAGGCCGAAAGTGGGCTCGGAGCGGATGCACAGCGCCATCCCCTTGGAGGCGCCGTCGGTGGAGTTGAGGTTGGCATCGTGGCGTGGCAAGGCGTCGGCCACGGTATTAAGACGACCCGGGCGATACTCGACGAAGAAGTCGAAGCCAAAGAGTTTGCTAATCCACTGGTGCTGCGGCACGGTCGAGAGCCTCTGGTCCAGCAAGAACTTGAGATTGTAGTGGTCCGTGCGAATCTGGAAAGATCGGCCCCATAGATAGGGCCGCCAATGGCGCACGGCCTGCACCAAGCCAATGAGCTCCCGCTCGTACGCCGCGAGCTTAAGATGGCGCGGAGCGAAGGGCCGGCTGAAGAAGGCGAGAGGACCATCACCCTGATGAAGCACGGCGCCGAACCCCGCACCCGAGGCGTCACAGTCCACCACGAAGGGGCGGTCAAAATCCGGCATCTGAAGAACGAGCCCCGTCGTGAGGGCCCCCTTGAGGGCCTCGAATGCCGCTGTCGCCTCCTCGTCCCAGGAGAAGGCGTCGTGGTGCAGCAACCGCGTGAGGGGCGACGCAATGAGGCCGAACTCCCGGATGAACTTCCGGTAGTATCCGGCGAAGCCGAGAAAACCGCAAAGAGCCCGCGGCGAGTGCGGTGTCGGCCAGGCTGCGACGGCCGCCACCTTGTCGGCGTCCATAGCCACCCCGTCGGTCGGGATGACATGGCCGAGGTAGGCGACGGAAGGCGTCCCGAACGAGCACTTCGAGCGCTTAAGATGAAGATGGTGCGTCCGAAGCTCGTTGAAGACGATGGTGACGTGCTGGAGGTGCTCTGCCCAAGAGGCGTTGTAGATTAGAATATCATCAAAGAAAACGAGCACAAACCGACGTAAGTAGGGCCGGAGGACGTCGTTCATCAGGGCCTGGAAGGTTGTCGGGGCGTTGGTGAGGCCAAAGGGCATCACCAAGAACTCGAAGTGGCCATGGTGAGTCCGAAACGCCGTCTTGGCGATGTCATCTGAGTGCATGCGCACCTGGTGGTACCCCGACCGGAGATCGAGCTTGGTGAAGAAGCGCGCCCCGTGTAGCTCATCCAGGAGCTCATCAACCATCGGAATAGGGAACTTGTCCTTAAGCGTAACAGCATTAAGGGCACGGTAGTCGATGCAGAAACGCCACGTGCTGTCCGACTTGCGGACAAGAAGCACTGGCGCGGTAAACGGCGAGGTGGAGATCCGGATGATGCCTGCCGTGAGCATAAGCGCACACTGCCGCTCCAACTCGTCCTTCTGCAGCTGCGGGTAGCGGTAAGGATGCACCGCCATCGGCGCGGATCCCGGCAAGAGATGTATACGGTGATCATATGCCCGGGCGGGCGGAAGACCCTGTGGCTCGGTGAAGAGGTCGTCGTGCTGTTGCAGAAGGTTCTCCAAGAGCGGATGCTCGGCCTCGGAGGTGGTTGCGGCCAGCTGAAGCTGAGGTGGTGCGGGCGTGGAACCCCCAACGCCGTCCCACTGAATGCGGCGGCCCAAGCGCCAGAAGGTCATCGTCAGCGCGTCGAAGTCCCCAAAGAATGGGATCGAGAGTCCGTAAAAAGTCGACGCCAAGGATGAAGTCGAAGCGGCCCAAGTCGATGCCCGCACAGGTGATGGAGAAGTGTTCCCCGCCGATGGTGATGGGGATGTCCCGCGCGAGGCCATGACACCGGAGGCGATCGCCGTTTGCCACCGTGACCCGAAGTTGCTCCCCGCCCGTCGGCTGAAGCGCTAAGCGATGCATGGTAGCCTCGGGCAGGAAGTTATGGGTGGAGCCTGTATCCACCAAGGCCACCAAGAGCTCGCTGTGGATCGTCACCGGCAAGAGCATGGTCCGCTCGTCATGGATCCCGGTGAGCGCGTGGAGGGAGACCACGAGGGCAGCCGCGGGTGCGCCCTCAGCCGCCGCTGGGGGTGGTAGTGCCGCGGCCTCATCGGCCAAAGCGTCTCCCTCGGTGAAGTCGATCGTCTCCAAGTAGAAGAGGCGCGGGCACACATGTGTCGGCGTATAGGGCTCGTCACAGTTAAAGCGGAGGCCCTGGCGCCGCCGCTCCATCTGCTCCGTTGGAGAGAGGCGCCGGAAGGGGCGCGTCGTGGCCGAGGTAGTGGGCGCCGGTGTGGCCGGGGGCGGCCGGCCTGGTGCAGGAGGCGGGTGGCTGGTCTTCCAGCCTCCTCGGGCCGGGGCA